GCAATAAACAGAGTGGGTGAGAGGTAGTCTTTCCGTTACCAGAATTGAACCTACAAGGTAAAGCAGGACATGCCTCTAGATACTGTTCTTCCATGTTTTATATATCAATTGAATGGGTAACACTTTTGCTTGAGAGTCTCAATTTAAATTCTATTTCTATAGTAGTTACTTTACGACTTGGAAGAACCTTTGTGATAGGTTGTTTCGACATGAATCAGCCGAAACCAAACTCACTGCCATCGAATCTACGCTGACTCCTAGCGACCTTGCAGTACAGCGCCGAAGGTCCCGCGAGTTCCTGAGGCTGAAACTCCATTGGAGTAGAACGCGCCGTCTTTCTCCTCCAGGCGCTGGTGGTGTCGACCAGCAAGCACCCCCACGCCACAGCCAAATAAACAATATGATAATGATGCTCAAAATGAATCTTAATATTCCAGGAATTACAATTCCCAACTCATGTTCAGGCATTTTGAAGTAAAATGTTTATTTTTGCTTATGCACAGGATGAAAAGAAATTTTTTTCTAAAAAGTTGGCATTATTTCCATTAGGTGTATGTGTTATTTATTTTAATATTTATTGTTAATTATTCTGTAATTCACTTAATGGGCTTTAACTGGAGTGCTCAAAAGGTATCATGACTATAAGTAAACTAATAGGAAAGCGGATAACAATGAATTAAGGGTTACTGGCAGATTAAGACACTGCTTCTCTCATTTGAGGTCGACAGAATTCAAATGGCCTTCATGAGCTGAGCAATACGCTGTGGAAAATGAGCTGCGTGCTTATCAAGGGGCTCTTTCATTTGCGTTTTTGCTAAATAACCAAGCTGCTCGGTTTTCTAGCTACTCAAGAGACGTGAGTAAGAGAGGAAAAAAATTATCCAGGTGAGCAAGTCAGGGGCATTTGAGGACCAGATTGAAACCAGGAGAGAGCTCATCAGTGAGCACATCAGAATGCTTCCTTAGTCCTTTCTCATACAAAATGACAGCATTCACGTAGTCAGGAGGCACCAGTGCATTCATTCTTTCCACGTTCACCAGGACCACAAGCAACTCTAGAGGCTGTTCTCTTGATAAATGATCATTACTTCAGCCTGACACTACTCGAGTGCCCCTGCTGTTGCTGGTTAAGAGTTTGAATTTCAATTAAGCAGTAAATCTTTTTTTTTTCCTTTTCTTTTTAAGATATTCTCCCAGTTGACACTTTTTCTTTACATGCTTTTTGGTAAAGAGATATAAAATAAATGTTAATATATAAACTTGGAATATGTTATGCTTTAATTTGCCGTGCGTACTTTCACCTGAAGTAAACTCTCACCTACACTTTCACCTAATTTCTCATGTAAACGTTTGCCTAGTTTTCCGTTCAATAATGAATGTACAAATTGATCTGTGACATTGACTACTACAATCCTAGCAATATGTCAGGAATCTCCCTATTTCCATTCCTACCCCAGCCCACCTTTTTTGTTGCTTTGGGGTAAATGCTTCCCCTTTAGGCTTGAATAGTTGAGTTTTCTGTAAAGCACACATGCCTCACAGATGTTACTGTGTATGACTGAAGCCAGTCCGCCACCTGACTGAAAGACGGCAACTTCAGTTTCAGGTTTGAAGACTTCCTTAGGGTGATAGGCTCAGGGGTTCTTCCAGTCTCACCAAGACCGGAACATTGGGTCTTTTTATGAATTTGAGTTTTATTCTACCCATTCTAATGAGGGCATTCTATTGCATTCTGATCTGAAGGTTGGGTAGAGGTAGCAAGGCACCATCTAATTCTTCTGGTTTCAGACTAAAGAGGCCACGGCTTATGTAGGCCATTGGTCCTCTGGCCTAACTGCTTCCTTGAGAGTGGTGCACTCTGCGTTGCTCAAAAGGGGGAGAGATCCATAACTACACATTAGATAGCCACTCACCAACCGAGGGTGTAGAAGTTTATATTTAGGAACTATAGAATGCTAATTAAGGAGACCTGGTGGTGGAGTAGGGAATGCATTGGGGGCTAACCACAAATTCAGCAGTTCAAAACCAACAGTCATGCCTCGAGAGAATGATCAGGTTTTAAACTGCCATATAGATCTACAGTCACAAGAACCCCAGGGCAGTATTAACTTGTCCATAGGACCTACAGGGTTCTATGAGTCCGAATATAGTAGGTGGCAGGGAGATTTTTTGTTTGAAAATTATGCTAATTGACCTAGATGCCCCGACACTAAACTTCCTAGCCTTTAAGCCTAGTAGCTCCATCCTCAAAATTTTGGTTATGTCTACTACGTTTTCAGAACAGTCCTCTGTATGTGCTCTATCGTACATATGAATATTCATGCAGCATATAAAATACATTTGTAGAAATATCCACAATCATCTCTATACATGCATGTAGGTGTTCCTCAGTACAACTCCCCGTAACTATTTAGCACACATATACACCGACAGGCCTCCACAAAAATCACTGCCTATTATAGTTGTTGCTGCAGAAGTGTATATGTTGTAGTCATATGGTTGTTCTTTATTCTTGTGTTCATCTCGGCAACGTCCTTTGTCTGGGTCATACTGTGCTGATTTCCTCCTATTATGTATTCTCATTCCCTTCACGAGAATGAACAGTTATTTACTATCTATTTGTGATTCGGTGTGATCCTCTGTTCCTGGTAGCCATCAAAAAATGTTTCATTCTTGATGTTCTAGATTAGTATTTCTCTGCAAATCCTTTTGTATGGCCTTATTTCACTCAGCAAAAGGTCCCCCCCAATTCATCAACATTATGAGATGTCGTATAGATTCACCATTGTCTACAACACAGTATATATACCACTGTATGTATGTACCATAATTTGTTTATTCATTCATCCATTTATGGGCAGTTAGGTTGTTTCTATCTTTTTGCTCTTGTGAATATGTTGTGATAAACATGGATGTGCATATGCTTAATTGTGCCACAGATTTTATTTCTTTACTCTATCCATACCAAGGAATTGGATTGTTGGATTGTATGGTATTTTTATGTCAGTTTTTTTAAAGATCTGCCATTCTCTTTCCATAGTGGTTGTACCATTTTACAGTGCCATCAGTAATACATAAGCACTCCAAACTTCCACAACTTCACAAGCATTTGTTGGTGTCGATGTTTTAGTTGCTTGTTTGTTTATTGCTTTTAACCAATGCCAGTACTGTTGGGTCAGATGACATCTCCTCATAGTTCTAATATTTATCTCTAATGACCAATCACTGCAAGCATCTTTTCGGGTGATGTTAGTTACAGGATAATGAAGTTTATGTAGTAAATCTTTAGGTTATCACATTTTCCATAGTCAATTAACATCTCTCAGCCCCCTACACTTTTGCAACATTGTTTTGTGAAGTCATTTCCTTTAGGCTCACTCTCCATGCAAACTATCCTTAAAAAACTGGTACAAGAAGATAGAAGCACATTTCTTCTAAGAAAAAAGGCAAATATTATGATTCCACTGTAAAAGTTAAGAAGCTATGGGATGTATTAATGCATCAAAAGTCATTGACTTAATTGTGCAATTTTAATATTTTTCATAAATTTTTCAACATATATTTTTCATTGGAAGACTACGTAAGTCATAAGAATTACATAAGCATGCATCATACTGACCACACTCAACTCTATAAACATTTTCACACAAATGTCTCTACAGATTTCTTTTTAAAAAAGCTCTTCCCCCAAATGTTAATTTAATATAAAAACAAAAACAATAAAACATCTAATAGAGCATATACCTAATGATTTGTCCAGTCTTCTTTATTGAAAATTTCAATATTCTAGGAGAAAATGTAATCAGTTTGATAGGGACTATCTTCCACACACAGTACTATAAAGCAATTTTATGATACCACAAAGGTAAATTAGCAAAATTTCAAAGCTACAGATTTAAAATATCCTTAACTATCAGATATACCATTGAAGTAAAATGTAATTTTATCTGCTCAGAAGTTAAGAGAAAGTCATTCCACTAGAACTCAAAGTAGCTTTACTTTGGGCAAAAAATTTATTCCTATAATGGTGTTGCTCTTCCCAATTACTTAGAATGGCAACATTTTGTCCATTAGTTAACATAACTTAATAATAAACTACAAAAATTCTGAAGTACTTTATTAAAATGCCTCCATCATTTTGATAAAAATGGAGCAAATATATGTTATTTTTAAATACCCATTTATCAAAACATTATGGGTCAACAACCATGTATCAGGTATTTTATTATTAGATAATGAAGGAAAAAGCCAGTAAGACAAGCCTTCATTGAAAGGATGTCTGTTTACAGTGTTCGCAGCTGTGCAATAAGAGCTACAGAGTTAGAGGAAGCTTTCGGCATGAGAGCGGGGTTTTTGAGTCAGAATTTAATTATAGGTCTATCTAGCTCCAAACATTTTAACTTTCCATTTCCTTATACTTAAATCTCCCAGTGTATTTGCTGCCAGCCCCCCATATACTTCTTAAAGATAAAGTAATAATTTAATATTATAACATGCAAGACTCAATGGCAACTAACAATAACACATCTATCAATAACAATTCAAAAGACCACCTTGTCCAAAACTAGAAATTGCACTTTATTTTAGAAAAGACGAGCAGCAGCTGTCCATGATCCTTACTTTAGAAAAGTCAAGTTATTTTCAGTTTAACTCAACTGAATCCATTTTATCCAAAACATGTTGAGCTCTGGATGTCCTAAAAATGCAAAGTTACTACACTAATCCAGCTAGCTAAGCCCTATAATGAAGTAACAAAGCTTAATTTGATGGAGGGTTTAACTAATCAAGGAGGAATTAAGAATTTCATTAGCTGATTAGCTGTCATTAAAGTAATGCCAGCTTGAGTTGCAACAGCATTCTGCTATGGCAAGAATATATTTAAGACTCGATAATAAGAATGAGGGAGAAGATTGCCCCTAAAGTTTATAAAGCAGTCAGTGGCCAAAAGGGTACCCAGTCAAACTAAAAAGAGGACACACACATGGGGGAAATGTACTTACCATCATGATTAGGGTTTCCTAGAGTCCACGGCTCATCAGAATCAAAATGCGTATCTCCCCCGATTCCTGGTCCAGGGAAATAGGCATGTGCCAAAAATCCTCCCTCTCCATCAAAGGGAGAACTGTCTCCATGAAAACCAGATGCGAAAATGATAGTTATATCCACATCTCGTTTGCCGTTTTCTAATTCACTGTAGGGAACTTCTTCAAACGTCAGAGGAGTTACGTTCTGCCACACATCAAAGGCACGGCGAATAGCCTTACGGGTTTCAGAGTCTCCGACTTTTGGAGTGACGTTCTTTATACTGAAAAAACAACAACAACCAAAAAACAGTGAGTGTGGCTTTGCTATATATAGATAGATATTCTATGACTTATTGAAGGTTTTTATGTATTCAGTTATAATAAAATATTAGGGAAAGGAATCATATTATAGAGCAAAAACCATTCATCATCATCCCTTTGGATCGATTTCACTATATTGTGATCACTTAATGCTCAGTAGTATGGTATTCAGCGACCAAGATATAAATGAGACAATCGTCTGTGAAGGACAGTTAACAGCAGGGCAACTAGATCAATCAGTCACTGTGCTGGTGGGCCACAATAGGCAGGCAGCTTCACCAAAGGATCAAACAGTTCCAGCAGTTTCAAGCAGAAGTAAAATCCCCCATTCTTCGGTGGTTATAATCACTTTCAGAGATACCCTGTTCCGTACGCACAGCCACTTCCAAGCAATGTCTTTATGCTTTTCTTTATGGAAATACATCAAGTTAGCACACAGATAGCTATTTTGTAGTTGTTGCTTTTTTTTAAAGAAAAGGCCAATCAAGCACTAGTTCTGTTGTTTTAATATTGTGAGTCAACAGCTGTTAAAAATTTGACAATTACATAAAAGTAAAGATGTAATATAGACATTACTTACTTTAACAATTTTATTAGCTCTGATTCTTATAAAATGAACAAAAGAAATATATTCTTCTTGATATTTTAGCAGTAATCAGGTCTTTCTCTTTTCCCAGTTATTTTTCTACTTTTGGCTAATAGAACATATATGAAACTAATATTTATTTTTTACATTGTTGTAATATAAATGCATACCATTCTGTTGAAAAGATATAAACTCCATAAGATTCATAAAAACAGTTTCAGATATTTTTCAATCAGTTAGCTGGTTGCATGGTAAAAAACATTTAAAATGTATTTTCCAGTGGAATAAAGAACATGCAGATTGTATTTGAAACAAATGTCAAAATAATTCTATTAGGAAGAATTATGCTTACATGATAATAATGACCCTTATTGATCTTTTGCCACAAGTCAGGCAAACACTTAATTTTATTAAATAATTTAAGGAGTTTGACACATGCATATTAACAAAGGAAGTAATGAAGATTTAGAGGAATTTTGAGAAAAGTTCATAAGTACCTGAGTTGGCGTTTTGTTTAGACATAGTATTTTAAGTTTTATGCCAGATCACCAATCTAAAATACCTGCTCGTTTGTAGTAAATATTCTAGAATGATGCATTACATCAGGAAGAGAGAAATAAATTGGGGACGTTGGGGGAGCTGGGGGGGGTTGGGAATGCAAGGCTAAGTCCAGGAAAAAAGAAATGGCCAGTGAAATGTTTAATAGTGCAGACATGTGTTGCACCTTCAAAGAACAGCAAGGCAAGCCTGCATGCACACTTTGATGAGAGACAAGAGACTGGACAAGTAGCAGGAGGCAGGAGTGGGTAGCCATTGGGCTGCTAATTGCAAAGTCTGCAGTTTGAAACCACCAGCTGCTTTGCTGGAGAAAGACAGGGCTTTCTCCTCCAGAACAAGCCTCTGGTGAGGCCCCTCTGACTATAAGTAGGGATGGGAATAAGCTGGTTATCAAACAGAGTACTGGAGTGATGATTATAATAAATTCAAATGATAACTCTGACTTTAATGGTTCAAGCCTTGTTATTTGATCTCCCTTTGAGCTCAAATATACTTTGAGATAAGCTTGGGGTTTATCTCTGCTGTATTTTGTTATTGGCGGCATTCTGTTATGTATCTGTCTATGTTTGTGTATTTCTTTATATAAAATCCATGTTGGTGAATCTACAGAGACAATAAGTCGAATAAGGGTTCCTGGGGGCTGTAGCAGGGCAGGGAGACAATATTAAGGGGTACAAGAAGGAAGAAAGGGTTTTGAAAATGATGGTGGCAGCAATTGTACAACACTGTATGATGTGACTGAACTATTTACAAAAAGGTTCCAGTCTTGGAGATTCACACTGGCAGTTCTATTCTGTCCTACAGAGTAGCTGTGCACTGGTATCAACTCAATGGACGTGAGTTTAGTTAGTTGTGGTTTTTGTTTTTGATGAGAGAGAAAAGACCTGGGATGTCATGAGCAGAAGAGTGATTTTTTTTTTTTAACCTACACATTGAGGGATTATATGGAAACTCCACGTAAGAGGCACAAAACCTAAGGCAGGGGTCTATTAGGAGCTACCACTAAAATCTAGCCAAGAGACCACTGTATTTTGGTCAGAGGTGTAGCAGTGGAGATACCAAGTTGTGGTTGGATTTGGATATATGTTGTGTACACACATGCCAAGATTTACTAACGGATTAAACATAGATGTGAGAGAAAAACATGTTAAGGAAGATACCCTAAATTTGTTTCTTATCTGAGTCAAATGAAAGAATATATATGCTTGCTCAGAGAGAAAATTAAGTTTTCTGTGATTGTAGTTTGGTTGATTGCTTTTAACTTACTGCCCTATTCAGTTTGTTGTTCTGAACTCTACTTCAAATGAGAGTAAAAGTCTACATTAATGTATTAAAGACCTTTGTCTAGCTTCTTAGTGATTCAATGTTCTGTATGATGGAGGAAAAGGGAGGGAAAGTAATGTAAATGAATTTTGTTTAAGTTAATTTCCCTCACAGTCTTTATATTCTTCTTAGTTGGCAGTGCAAATCCTAACTTGAATGTGTTTACGTTTTTGAAACCTGTCTACAAAGCAAATACACCTGCAAACAGACCTACCCCGTTCTCCTGTTGTACTTAAATATTTAGCTGCTTTCTTTTGGAGAAATCACTGCAAATTCATGATGAATTTGATTTTAAAAATATTTCTGGAAAAATCATAGAACCCTAACAGAAAAATATCAATATTTGCATCTATGTTTATTGACCTATCTTCCTTCCGTCTCCAACCCTTGCACAAAGACTTCTGTGCCCTTTGAGTTATACCACATCAGAATGACAGTGTTGGTATCCCAGAAGGACTCAACTATATTCCTTTTCAATGTTCTTTGAGTGCGGACAATAAAAGGCAGTCTGAAAGGGGTACTATCAGAGCCGTGAGGTAGTTGGGGTCAAGTTTCCAGTGAAATTCTTACAGCACAGCCGTTGCTGCCTTCAAAGAATGAGCAAGTGCATTGCCAAGACTGAGATGACAATTCCTTGAAACAGTGTTGGCTTTTTTTTTTTTTAACCAATGAGTTTTAAATTTCTTCCTGAAAATCTCCCATGATCATCCTTTGTACTTTGAGAAAATCTATCAAGATTAGTCCACTGGAATCCCAACCTCAAATTTCCAGTCTTCTGAGCTGACCTTTCTACCTTGAATTCATCTTTGAGGTAGTCTTAACTTTTCTGAAGATATTTATCATATATACTAGTGTATAAGCTGAGTTTTTCAGCATATTTTTTTAAATGCAGTTTTTGTGGTAAAATTAGGTGCCTCGGCTGATATTCGGGTGGCTTATACTCAAGTCTATACAGTCATCCACATAAGAACTGTTGTTCTCTGTGGGGCAACATTTCCATAAACTTGTTGCAAAACTTCAATGATTTGGAAAGATGTATACTTGAGTTTGGTTAAAAAATAAATTGTTGTTAGGCCTAACCTCAAAATTGTATTTTTCTTTGGCACAAAAGTCACCACTATATTCGGGCACCCTAATGATACCAAGGCAGTTGCCTTCCTGGGAAAACTTGTCTGCAGCTCTGAGCCGGACACAGAGACCTATCTAAACATGCTTTCTTTTTTTTTTTAAAGACTTTCAAAAATCAAACATTTATTACAGCAGTATAAAATTCTATGGAAAAGAGTTATGGAAATACCATTTTAATGAGAAAAGAGAAGCATATAAAAGTTGCAAAAGATTTAGAATTGGTTGGAGGTATGTTTTTTGTTTTTTTTTTAAATAATAAAATTAAAAAATAAATAAATAAAATTAAACATGCTTTCTTTGGAACAAGTCCATGCACACAGGAACTGGGACCCTGCTAGCAGGAGGGTTTTCTTACCTACCCTCATAGTAGTGGATTTATAAATAAAATCTATAAAGTTTGGATTTTTCAACAGTCGATTCAAGGGATGCTTATCAATTCACTTGATAAATTATTTTTACACTATTGAGAAATATTTTTTCAAAGTTAAAACACTATTCGATAGCAAATACTGAAAGTTAGAAGATCATCATGCTACTTTGATTTTGGTCTTCTGTACTGACATCCAAAGAAGCTTGCGTTCTGCTTCATAATTCTTAACAGAAACATGGAAATCACTTAATGATCAGTGAAGTGTTAGGATTCCTACACCATTTCTCAGGTAAGTTGAGTAAGAGTGAGGAAATGACATTTAGAGAAAGAGTACTTTGTGGGAATCCGATCTTTACTAACAAAATATTGGAGTGATTATTTTCTTTATGGGTGCTATTTCGAAACTAATTTGCTTTGTTGGTTCTGTAAAATAGATTAATTTGCAAATGTAAGAGCTTAATACTTACTAATTTGCATAGATTTGTGGAAGATGAGAAGCAAAGCTCCTCAAATATGTCCTAAATATGTCAAATCCATTCAAATCAAGTAATCTTCATTCAGTTACTCAGAAGGATGTGCTCACATATCCTACAATTCTCTACAGTATTCTGTTCTAAATATGATGATGAAATCAGAGCATTCTTGCTTCAAAAATTATCTTTCTATGAACATGATTCAGTAACTTTTAGTCAATTTTATAGATAAAAATTAATTTTACAGACCCATGTACTCAACTTTTTCTGAGAAGGGCTAGCAATTAAATGAAATCTATTATAATTGGTAGAGTAGTTCTGATCACTAAAAAGTAGAGTAAACATAAAAACAATTGGTGAAACTTTAACCAGATCTATATCCACGCTGTATCCTAAAATTAAATGGAGTCATTTACTTTCATTCATATTATTTTTGTCTAGTTTGATATAGTTGATGTGGCTTCAAAACCTTTTTTTTCAAGTTGGAGAGATGATCACAGAATAGAGATTAAATATGGCATT